AAGGGGTTTCCTATTTTATGGATGATGTGTTAGTGACGGGGGTAACAAACATGAACAGAGATTGGAAGAGGTGTTTAAGAGAATTAAAGAAAAAGGTTTGCGGGCAAGTGCTGAAAAAAATGTGTTAGTGACGATGGAAGTATTGTATTTGCGACACCGAATTACAGGGAAGGAGGTGAGACCCATAATAAAAATATGGTTGAAATAATACGTAAAGGCCAGGTAATAAATTGGAGATGCAATCATTTTTGGGGATTGTTAATTATTATCATCGATTTCTGGTTAATAGAGAAACAAAATAGAGCTGAGGCGGAAAGTGGTCAAGTGTTGATTCGAACAGTGACAGCAATATCAAGAGGTGGACCAATAACATGGGAAGAAATTAAAAAAAGCTACATTGAAAGATCGAAAACTGATGCGTATTAAGGCTTGTATAATGGGTCGAAAGCCATGGAGAGTTGGGGATAAAAGGTTCAAAAAATTAGAGAAAGAGTTCATGATAGTGGATGAATGTGTGGTACGAGGAAATTGTGAAGTAGTTCCGTGGAAATTAAGAGAAGCGGTGTTAATTATGATTCATGCGGGGCATCAAGGAGTTGAACGGATGAAATAATGGGGAAGAGAATATGTGTGGTGTCCTGGGATGAATGGAGATTATAAATATAAGTCGGAATTGTGTGATGTGTAATTATTGGGATAGTATGCTTTATAGAGTTAAGGAAAGTGTTTGGCCTAAAGCTACTCAACCGTTGGAGAGGGTTCATAGAGACTTCTTCGATTTTGAAAATAAAATATTTATTCTTGGTGGACGCTTATTCGAAGTGGGTAGAATATGAAAAAATGAGAGGGTTAACGACCAAAGTGGTGTTAAAAACTTTAAAAAAACATATGGACCAGGTTTGGGGGTGCGAAATAATCGTTTCGGGTGGAGGGCCAGCTTTTATAAGTAGAATTATAGAACCTTTTGTCCTGAAACGGGTGCAAAGCATATATTAGCTCCACCGCAACAGAGCTAAAATAAACAAGCAGAGAGAATGGTGGCGATAGTGAAGAGTTGGTTAAGAAAATCTAATATTGAGGAAGTGAAATATGGATAGCGGTGGTTTACTATAATAATAGCAAAAAGGGGGAAAAATTTCTCCAGTGAAATATGGATAGCGGTGGCTTACTATAATAATAGCAAAAAGGGGGAAAAAATCTCCGGCGGAGAAATTTTTCGGGCTCCGTACTCGCATGCTTTTGGGTTTATTAAAGCTCACGCCGTATAAATTGAGAATGACCAAGAGTAGTGATGGGAAAGTGAGGATGCGAATTTGTGATAGGTCAGACAGTGTGGGTCCGAATTTATGTGGGTACAAGAAAATGGGAATTAAGAATAATAATGGAGAAAGTGGGGAGCAAAATGTATAAAATAAAATTAGGAGATGGAAGAAATGTGGGAAGACATTCCGATCAAATACGGAGGGAAGTACAATCGGGAAGATTACGGTCTGGTTGCGAAGTGTTGAGAGAAAAATTGAAGTATTATAAGTGAGAATAATAATGTGAAAAATAAGTAAAAAGAAAGGGGTGGGAGTTAGGAGAAAATTATTATTATACGGGAATATGGAATGCCAAAGCAAATATTCCTGAGTTTTTAAAATGGGTCTTAAGAGTTGATATAGCACGGGAGTAGTACATATATATATCCTTATTGCAATGTGTGCATTTAATGTTATAAATATATATCCGTATTGCAATATATGTTGGTAATTAAGAGAATTGGAAAAAGTGTAATATACTGTTGTTAATTTAAATTGCTGAAGAATAAAAAGGGAGAAAAACAAGGTTATTGAAAGGAAAAATTGTGGCGTATAATTTAGCAGAGGGGAAGGAATGTCAAATTTCAGATGTCCCTGGCATAGAAAATAAAAGAGTTGTAATAGAATTTACGAGCTATGACAAATTTTCAAAATATATTATTGGGTGTCATGGTGTAGTATGGATCATAGATTATAAAATTTGGTAAAAAAAGTGATGATTAAAGGTTATTTTAAAAAACTAGTATGTTAAAAATAACTATTTTATTTGAAATAAAAAATGTTTTAGTTATTTTAAGAAAAATTTGTTATTAAATATTTTATGAGATGAATAGGGGAAATTAAAAATTGTGTATAAAAGTGGTGAGAATTATTATGGGAGTTGTAAAAAATTTTTTTGAAAATTTAATACAAATTTTTTTTTAGATTTTATTAAAAGATTGTTAAAGTATACAATTAAAAGATTTAATGACGAGATGGTTATTCATAAATTCATATATTTACTGGGGTTCATTGTTAGAATAAATGTATATACTCAAGGCACCGATGATCAAATTTCTGAGATGCTTCTACCCGTGGTGCAATCATTTCAAACTAGACGAGGGTGGAACCCGGTGCTCACCTGCTACCTTTGTCAGTCTTGGGACCACTTACAAGATCGGTGTCCCCGCAGACCAAGGAGATAAACAGAAAGGTATGAAAAACCATCAGCACGGCACGTGATATTCCGAGGACACAGGCGGCACCAATGATTGCGGAGGAGAAACACACAACTGCTGCCACGGGGATACAAATGGGAGAAGGAAGTACTGCGAAAAATGAATTAGCAAATCTAGATATGACAGATGTAGAAATGGATGAATTCCTGAAGGGAGAGTAATGGAATTTTGATTTTTCAAAGGGTGAGCTGAGACAATACAATTTTTTGTTATAAATTTATTTGAAAAGATTTTTATTATATTAAATATTGTTATTATTATCATAGATTTTTCTTCTGTTAATAGTTTTTTTATACAAAAATATTCATTATTATAATTTTTAATTTTAAAAAGAAAAGAAGAAAAAATCTTTGTTGCAAATTAATTAATTAATAAGGAAAATAAAAAGCAAAAAATGTTAAAAATAAAATATTGTAAAATATTGAATTAGTGTTGGAAATAAAGATTAGAAAGTGTAAGAAATAAAATATTGAATAAGTGTGGGAAATCAAGGTTAGACAGTGTAAGTAATAGAATAATGTATATTTCAGTAGATTTTTTTAACAATGGATGTGAGCTGTGTAGCTGTAGAAGATAAATAGATATTATGACTTTCTTTAAAAACTTGAGGGTCCGAAAGTGCGTAAAGTATGAAGAAATAAAGGCTCAATGATTTCTTTTATAAAAACAAATATATATATTTTAGATAAATTTGGAATTAAGAGATTTTTAGATTTAAATTAGCTGTAGACATGTTTGACAAAATATGATGATTAATAGCTAAATGAGGGCTACAGGTAAATGATTCAATGAATATATTAGTTTAGACTAATTGAGGGTAAAAGGATGGTATAATTAGACAAGTTTATTTTGGTATATATGAAATATGTATTTTAAATTTAAGAATGAATGGTAAAAATGAAATATTCAGAAATTAGGAAAAGGTTTGGTGGTTTGATAGTATATTTTATATAATAATTTATAAAAAGAATTAGACATTAAGACTTCGATCAAGTTAGGATAAAGAAACAAAAGAATCGATATATCGGCAAGAGCGAACTGTCACAGAAAACGCAGAAGTCGACGATCAGTAGTTATCGGTACAAGAATTTTGGATCGTTCAAAGGTAATCGTTAATCATATAATAATGTTGATCAATTGTTTACCGAGAAAAGCGCTAATAACATTTATAAAGAACGTTAGAAACAAGCCACAGACCAGAATAATTTATTAAGAAAATTTCTGGCGAAATTTAGAAAAAACAAAAGTTGACAAGAAAGACTAGAATCAATCGATAATATTTGACTAACATGCCTGAATCGTTGAGAAGCAAGCATTGATAGAGTACAGGCTTTTATAAATTTTAGAAGAAATACAAATTTGTAAAGGCAATAAGCGGTAATCTGATACAAAGAGTTGTTAAAAGCTAAGAATAGAAGACAAAGGACATTCGTCGTTAAAACTTAGAGGACAAAAAAGATTAACCCAGGATATGATTAAAAAGTCTTCGAATAAAGAATGAAAGATAACATTGGTGAAGATACAAGATTAGTAAAACAGAAATCGAAATAAAAATTGGTCATTTGCAGGTTGATCTAATTTAAGTGGAAGAGTGTTGAATAGGTAAATAATTACTTATTGAATTATGGAGATTGTTTATGCACAGACAGTATATTTTATTTTGTAAAAGAGATGAAAACGCGTGATAATTGTAGATATTTTGTATTTTAACGGTAAAACAATTGTTCAGTTATTCACTTAATTTTTTTATATTTTTCTTATAATTTTTATATTTTTCTCATAATTTTTATTTAATTTATACCTTTTACATTAAGTGTAATTATGATTATGGGAGGAATAAAGATCATTAAAGGGTAACTTGAATATGTATTGTCTATTTTAGGATATTGACATTTTGTTTAATCTTGATACCCTTTATTATTCAATCTATAATCTATGGTGTTCAAACCTTCAATTTTATAATATTGACTCCTCCCCACATTTTTATATAGGATTTGTCAGTATACTAATTTTTTCATCTATTACCCAATATAATTGTAATAATTTATTACAATTATCTCGCCCCTTTCACACGTAATGTAAATTTTATTGAATGCTAGTCATTTTTTTGTTTTAACCGATGTGAATATATTTTGATATAGAAGGTTTATTTAATTAACAAAAGTCAATATACCAATTTAAAAAGATATATATTAGCTTTGTGATATAAATGTTTATTTTTACTGTTCTGCGGCTATATAATATAATTATATTTCCTGCTATATAAGAAAACGTTAAATTATATTTTGTTATTCATTCTACTAACATTTACTTTAACCAAATAAAATACTACTCATATTCTTAATTCTGAACAAATATATTTATGTTCTATACAATGATAATCATTGGTTCTATATCTGTAACCAATATACAGATTATTATAATTTAATCGAAAAAAATATGGTTATGGCGCGAATATTTTTTTTATATTAAAATCTTTATGTCAAAATTATTTAAACTTAAATTTTTATGTTTAATTTTTTACTGACCTGTTTTTTTTTCATTAGGATTTTTAGAGCAGATAATTATATATTGGAATCCTTAACAATAGTATAATAGTTAATATTCAGATAATATATTGTATTTTTATTAGATATACAGGCACGGTGATAGAAGTCCAGTATGGGTTTACCCAAATGATAGATATGATAAAACATATTGGTCTAATGGGTTAGGCCAACTGACTAAAGTTACATTATAATATTTTCTTATAATATATATCAATATATATTTTAGGTTGGTATTCAACAGGAATATATTTTGGGAACTCTTATTAAAAACAGATATACAAATAATTCCCAATTTTTAAATACATCATATAAATCGGAAGAAATTATTATTAGAAGCACAGATGTGGATAGAACTCTTATGAGTGCTCAGTCTGTCTTAACAGGGTTGTATCCTCCTAATAATAGTTATGAAGAACAACAAGTTTGGAAGCCAGATTTGAATTGGCAACCAATTCCTGTACACACTATACCCTTAAACAGTGATTATGTATAAAATAATTATTTTGTAAATTATTGTATAATACATAATAGTTATTAAATGCAGGAGCTGCATGCCCATTATTTAAAACTATGGAAGAACAAATATGGACAAAAGATGATATTGCTATAGATGTGAATAAGAAATATATGGTTTATAATTTAAAGCAATTTATTTTAAAAATTTGAATATTTTATTTTGAGAAATATTGTGTAAACTATAAATGAGATGACAATTTAATCATTTCTTTTTTATGATGACCTTTCTATTAAATATTTTGATATTGTATAAATAATACGATTACTAAATGTTATATTACTTATTTATTAGGACATGTCTAAAGCCCGAATAATTAAAATATGCATTTTAGAATAATTGTTCAAATTAATTAAATATAATATATTGAAGATAAATAGGGTCATGTCTAAGAGTTATTTGGCTCCCCCAAAAGTTTAATTTTTCAATAGAATTTTCCAAAATTGTTTTATTTTAATTTATACTTTTTTTATATTTAAAACAGAATTATAATTTTTTAAAATACAGATATTACATATAATCAATAAGGCTTATTAACAATATTGAATAATGAATTATTTTCTGCTAAACAAATTGAATAATTTTAAATATGAATGATAAATTTCCAATTTGTTTAAATAAAAATGGAAATGTGTCACAAATCATATTAATGCTGCATATTATCGAAATTTTTGAAATTAATATTTGTATTTTATATCCCTCCCCCATTACCTTTACTTTTTTTTTATAAAAACATAAGGACTTATTCAATTTTTTACAAAATGAATCTGGAGTTGTGCCTTTTAACCTTAAAAGCTTAGACATTTTGGTGGATCCAATGATATGTGAAGTATGATATGTATTTATAATAGTATTGTCTTTATGGAATGTAGGCTTCCCAAAATTTTCATGTGAGGATTAATCTTTTAATTTTAAATCATTTACTTATTAAAATTGTTGAATTTTAAGACTCTGATTTACCAGAAATATATTCTAGTATGTATAGATAACTTAATTGGCAATTAGTTTATGATTTTCAACAATTTCGTGTATGTAATAGAATGACCAAAATCTTTCTTGATATTGTTTGAAATTCATAGGATGTTATATACTACACATGCTTTAATCAATAACATCAGATTTTTTTAAGTAAATAATTATCGTAGTTGATATAAGGAATTTCATATCCTTGCATATAGATTCCAGATAAATTATTAAATTAAAACTTACCACATATATATAACAGGTAAGTATTTAGTATCATCAAATACATGTTTGAAGGTCTAAATTAACATATAATAATAAATATTCCCATTCAAATAAATTAAACAAGATTGATCAAAATAAAAAATCTATATTTGATTATAGTTTTTAAAAGTAAATAATTTATTGGTTAAATTTATACCTCTATATACATAGAGTTTATTTGAAATTTAAACTATATCAACAAAATTTTTATATTTTTAACAAGATATCCCATAATCTCACTCAACCTAAATGGCTTAATCAAACAACTGTGGATTTATTGTTAGAACTTCATAATTTGCGATTCAAACTCAACTACAAATATCCTAAAATGCAAACTCTATCTGCAGGTAAAATTTTAAAAAATTTCTTTCTTTTATTTTTATTTAAAAAAAAAATTGTCCTAAATTAATTGGAAATATCTAAATGAGTTTACATCATAATGGAGAAACAAATTTTCAGGATGCCTAAAAAAATATTATACAATATTTTTGAACACACCTAAAAATGGACTCTATCCGTGAATTGTGAGCACTATAGTTGGGTAATTGTACAGTGCATTTAAATCATTGATTTGTTTTAAAAAAAATCAAAAAGTTGGGGGTGATGTTGCTTAATTTTCTAAAATGGCTTAGCCAAGTTTTTATGTCAAAAAATTACCTAAGCATATTTAAGCTTTTCTAATTTTTTTACTATATGGTTTAAACCATTTTTTGGTTTAGGCAAGATTTTTAGCCAATTGCGCAAAACTAATATATGATTACAAATCAAATAGAAACACGTAGTAAAATAGTGTTTTTGCTTTCTATATTAAATAATATCTCGAATCTTGAGTGATAAAAACTCTAAGATAGAATTTTTGTTGATGATATGATACAGAAACAATCCTTATCTTTAATCAAGTAGCTTCTTTAGCTTCTGTAGAAATAATGTTTTCCTATTTTGGCCTAATCATAAATAAGGAAATAGGCTTAGACCACAAAAAATATGAAAATTATTTTTTATTTTAGATATTTTTATAATAATATATTATATTATTTAATTTTTTATTGTTTAAATTTACATTAAAGAATTACTTATTATATATAAGAACATTGTTTATTAGTCATACAAATATAAGATCAAATAAATTGATGAAAATATTTAATATTTGATAAGTATTGAATTGTTGTTTTGTTATTTTTTTGTATTTTTTGTAAAATGTTTATTTTCATTATTATCATATGAATTTGAATAACGAAAAAATGAGATTTTGAAAAAATAAAAAATTGCGATTTCGATATTTCCACTACTAAAAAAGACACTACAAAAATGGCGCAGTCGATAAAAAGTTTAATGGATTCAAACTTGTGTTACAAAGATTGGTATGACTTATTTAAAGAATTTAAAAACACAATCAAGGTTAACATCATCACAAGAAAAATCCCTGTTATTAACAACAATAGGATTTTATGCGCACCAGATAGTCCAGGAAATAAAGAGGTATTAGAAATACATAACATTTTACTCAAATTTTTACATCCTTACCTAATATAATTATAGAAAGATATAATTTTTATCAATATAATCAAAAAAATGAGGAAAAATTAATAGACTATATACAAAATCTTCGAAAAGTGAATTTGGGGAATATTTAAATACTGCATTAAGAGATAATTAAATATTCGGAATAAAAAATCCTAAAATTATTCAAAGATTATTATCTGAAGATCATATAGACATAAATAAAGCTAATCAATTAGCTACTGCAGTAGAAACAGCTATAAAAAATACAAAATGATGAAACTAAAATTGATCAGTTAAAAGTGGAACATAATGATAATATAAATAAAATTCAAAAAGTTTAATGATAATGATAAACAATCCATATCATACAATAATTATAATACGAGCTACAAAAAACCAAATCTCTTCCACTCCTGCTGCAGAAACTATAGAAGGGAAAATTGTTTTTTCAAGAATGCCACTTGTTATAAATGCAACAAAATTGGGCACATTGCTCAAGTCTGTAGAAAAGAAATAGTGAATTTTATTAATAATAAAACAAACGAATATAATCCAGAATTTTGGATGGATGTTAAAATAAACAACAGTGATATCAGAATGGGATTAAATACTGGAGCTGGGGTAAGCATAATTAACGAAATAGATTGGAAAAATAAACTTAATTGTCCTGGATTAACAAATTGCATGCTAAAACTTAAAAGCTATACAGGAACCAATATACCACTTTGGTCAGACTGTAGTAAAAGTACAATATAAAGGACGAACATCAGAACTAACTCTCATAATTACAAAAGGATATACCAGAAATCTCATTGGAAGAAACTGGATAACTAAATTTCCCAAAATGACTGAAATATCTGAAAGGACCATACAAATAAATAACATTAAAAATAAAGTTGAACAGATTGCTAAAAATAGGAGTAATAGAAAAAATTATTCATTCACTTTATGCATCACCCATAGTAATTGTTCAAAAGAAAGATAAAACATTACGAATTTGTGGGGATTTTAGAAGAACTATAAATCAAAATATTAATATTGATTCATACCCAATGCCAAGAATCCAAGATTTATTAGCCAGTTTGGGAAAAGGAGAATTTTCAATATTGGATCTCTCAGATGCCTATTTTCAAATTAAAGTGGGGTAAGAGTCTCAAAAATATCTTGTAATCAATACCCATAGAGGATTATTAATATACAAGACTACCTTTTGGCATATCGTCTTTTCCAGCAATATTTCAACAAGCCATCGAGAATTTATTAAAAGGTTTTGAAGGAGTAGCTTGTTATTTAGATGATATTATAATAACCCGGAAAAATAGAGAGAAGCACGAAACAAATTTAAAAAAGGTACTAAAATGTCTAGACAAAATTGGAATCAAGCTTAAGATAGAAAAATGTAAATTTTTCAAACAAAATGTATAATAGTCAAGACACAAGATTTAAAAAAACGGGATTACAACTACAGAAAAAATAATATTGAGGCAGTAAAAAAAGCACCAGAACCAACAAACTTGAAACAATTACAGTCATTTCTAGGGTCAGCAACATACAATTCAAAATTTATTTCAAATTTTGCAACCAAAGCCAAACAATTATACAAATTATTAGAAAAAGCAGTTGCTTGGAGATCGACTAATGAATGCAAAGACGTGTATATAAAAATAAAGCAAGAAATAAGTAGTACTCCAATATTACAACATTATCCAAAATTACCCAATTAGCAACAGATGCGTCAGCCATAGGATTTGGGGCAGTAATATCACATATAGAGGGGGGTAAGGAGAGATCAATTGCATTCGCCTCAAGAACACTAAATGCAGCTGAGAAAAATTATAGCCAAATAGAAAGAGAAGCTCTCGTCATCATATTTGGGGTTACAAAATTCATAGAATTTATATATGAAAAAAAGTTCACATTACAAACAGCCACAAGCCATTAATGAGTTTATTTAATCCAAGAAAAGATATACCAACAACATCTACTGCCAGAATACAAAGATGGACTTTATTATTAGTTGGTTACCAATATGAAATAGAAGTCAAAAGTAGTAGACAAATAGCAAATGCTGACATGCTATCTTGATTACCTATAAAGGGAACCCCAATATCAAAAGAAGAAACATTAAATTAAATACAGGTGGGAGAACAAACACCTTTAAATGCAAGTGAGATTAATGCTATGATGATGTACTCTCTAAAGTATACAGGTATGGAATAGACGGATGACTGATAAACTATGATACATGTTTAAAGGAGTAGCCAAAGGAGAGAGGAAATCACAACAGAGAGAGGTTGTTTGCTATGGAGAACTAACAGGTTAATACCACAACAATACTGAAACAACGTGTTAGACATGACACATCAAGGACATATTGGAATGGTAAAAATGAAGATGAGAGCAAGACAATACGCATGGTGGCCCAATATAAACCAAGATATAGAAACATGGGTTGAAAAATGTAGAGAATGCCAGGAACAACATGATATGCCTCAAAAAACATCAATTCAGAATTGAAAACCAAAAGCATGGCACCGAGTACATATTGATTATGCATGCTAGCAGTAGCTGGCCAGAAATAGTTTCCATGACTAGTACTACAGAAAGCACGATCAAAATATTAAGAAATATTTTTGCCAGATTCGGATTTCATAAAATAATCGTTTCTGATAACGGACCACAATTCAGCAGCAAAGAATTCCATGACTTCTGCGAAAAAAACGGAATACAATTAGTGACGTCCTTACCATCCTCAGACAAACGGCATGGCCGAACGATTAGTTCGAACTTTTAAACAGAGCATGAATAAAAGAAACGAGGAGGATTTAGAAACCAGTCTAGCTATTTTTCTCTACAATTACAGAAATACACCAGGAGCATAAACTAAACAAAGTCCCGCTGAAATACTACTAAAAATTAAACCTAGAGAATTGTTAGACCAAATATTCGAACGGGGGAACAAAAAGGAGGAGAAGTTAGAATACTACACTCAAAAATTCGAGATAAATGAAAAAGTGTGGTCGCGCATTTACAATAATAAAGAAAAAAAAGGGAAAATGTTATTAAAAGCATACTCGGATCACTACGATATGAAGTAAGTATAGAGGGTAAAACCATTATACGTTATACTGATCAATTAAGGAAAAGAACCGGAAATATATTGACTGATGAATACGAATTAGAAGAGAGACCTGAAGTGTAAGAGAGAACCCAAGAGAGAGTAAACAAAGAGGGCTTAATAAGCAATAACGATGAATTGAATCTAAAGGAGAGGGAGGAAGAAACTAGAAGTCAAGATCGTTATCCCAAAAGAATACGAACGAAGCCCAATAGATTGGGGTTGTTATATTATTTTTTTGTATTTATTGTAAAATGTTTATTTTCATTATTTATATTATCATATGAATTTGAATAACGAAAAAATGAGATTTTGGAAAATAAAAAATTGCGATTTCGATATTTCCATAATTACTAAAACACTACAATATTATAATAATTTTTAAGCATAGGAAAGGTCACAATAATTTATTAAACTGCCAAAATAAGTTCGAATAAAATCATACGTTATTAAAAGTAAAAACGTCAAATGATAAATTTTAATAATTACTATTTATTTCATTTATGATTCAAATGCCATTTAGTTATATATTTTTTACAAATATTGAAATCAAATACACTTTCATTATTATTATGTTGAAAAGTTGTAAATTAAATAATATATACCAATTTTATAACTACTACAATTTATCGAATTATGTTGTAATGCCATGATTTGTATTCTATTTTAATAGGATTATGCGTTGTTTAAATTGTATTCGTTATGGCGTCTTGTTATTATTTTCTC